TTTTGTCCCAGCGTCTAGCACTGTGTCAGGCACATGGTTCATAGTAAGGACTGAATAAAGCTCAAAGGGACATAATCATCAGAAGCCATGGGAGGGGATTTATTTATGTCCTAATCATCATTTTTTGGTACCAGGGATTGGAACCAGAGGAATTTAACCACTGAGCCCCATCCCCAGCCCTTTTCGTATTTTATTTAGAGACAGGGTCTCCCTGAGTTGCTTAGGGCCTCACCAAGTTGCTGAGGCTGGCTATGAACTTTCAGTCGTCCTGCCTCAGCCTCCTAAGAGGCTGGATTGCAGGTGGAACCATCTTATCTAGGTCTTAATTCTGAAAAACCAAATAAAAAACGAATGTTTGACATAAGTAATGGGATATGAGTATGTAGTAGGTTTGGATGACATTCAAGAATAATTGTGAATTTTGCTAGTGTAATTATGGCACAGTGGGTATGTAACTAGTAGAGATGTGAGCTGAAGTATTTTTGGATGAAAGGGAATTATGTCTGCAACTTTCTTAAAACAGGTTTGTCCTATAGAATGGCCTCCTAAAAGCGTGTGTGTGTGGGGGGGAGAGTGCCTGGATGAAACAAGACCAGCAAAGTATTGCTAGTTATCAGAGCCACTGCCTGTGTGAGTTCATTACAACGTCCGATCTATTTTTGTACAACGTCGGTTCTATTTTTGTATATGTTTAAATTTTTTTGTAATAAAATTCTTTAAAATTTGATCACAGATAACTTAGAAATAAAAATTACATGCCCTGCAGGCATGGTGGCACTCGCCTGAAATCCTAGTGACTTGGGAGGCTGAGGCAGGAGGATTGTGAGTTCAAAGCCAGCCTCAGCAACTTAGTGAGGCCCTAAGCAATTCAGTGAGACCCTGTCTCTAAATGAAATATATTTAAAGGGCTTGGGATGTGCCTCAGTGGTTGAGTGCTTCTTGGTTCAATCTCTAGTACAAACAAAACCAAAATGACATGCCCAGGAAAAGTGTGTTCAATGACTCATGAAGTGGCTTTGGAGATGTCAAAGATGCTTATGAAAAACTGCAGCTGCAATGGCTTCTCATACAACATGACATTAGGAATAAGAAATACTGGGGCCGGGTTGTGGCTCAGCAGGAGAGCGCTTGCCTAGCAAGCATGAGACACTGGGTTCGATCCCTGGCACCGCATTAAATAATAATAATAATAAACAAATAAACTAAAGGTATTGTGTCCATCTACAACTAAAACAATATTAAAAAAATAAGAAATACTTCTAAATTATAAGAGTGATGTCAATACAGCATGAATATGTATATGAAAGGTATGCAAATTATATTTAAATTTAAATGTATGTGGATTATACATTTAAATTAACTGAAGTAATAAAAGCATAATTTAAGCTTTTGCTGAATAATTATCATTTATTCTGTCACAGCATCTCAGAGGCCTCCTCGGTGC